ACACACACACACACACACACACACACACACACACACACACACACACACCCCACAAGTTTGGGGGCTTTCTTTGGTAAAATAAACTTATTCCTAATCTCCACAAGCTCAAACTTTCCCGCCCCCAAAGTGTATTGGGGGCTTTCTTTGGTAAAATGAACTTATTCCTAATCTCCACAAGCTCAAACTTTCCCGCCCCCAAAGTGTAAGATACTGAAGACATGGAGCCAGAAAATCTCTCAAACACTATTCTCAGGCAGCGCAGTCATTTAATGAAGGGTGTAAGCTTTCTGGACTCTTCATATGAGAAGAGCCTAAGCAAAGCTTTGAAAGGACTCTATCAGCCTGAGAAACAGAGCTTTCAACTTCCTCCTTCCTTCTTTACAAAGCAAAAAGCAATCTGTCTCCACTCAAAGTTCATTTAATGCTCCAAGCCTCTTTGTCAGCCTAAGCATCTGGCTGAAGATAAATTGGCAGTCAGAAGCAAGTCAGAAGTATATAACAGGCAAACACATAAAACACGTCAATGTACTTAAATATTAACCTGCAGTCTAAGAGGGGTTTTTTCCCACTTAATTGAAAATAAACAAAAAAAAATGGCGGGCAATGTAGACACTCTTAGAAGGTACACATGAACTAATGGACAAATGTAACCCAGCCTGGACCTCGTTTGTCTAAAATTACTTAACTGTTTGATAAATGCATTGGGTGCATACAAAATCTACTTACACCTTTTTTTTCCGTATCATTCGGCACAAACTGGAACACGTCAATTAGTTAAAACTGTAAACAGAACTGCCGCTGGACTTAAACCACTTCATATAGAATTTGAGAAAAGATGGGGTCTAAACGTGATGATGATGACAACCCAGACACTAATTTGTGTTTGTACCTTTATGGCCTCACTCAGGCAGAATAATGAAATAAAAGGCACTGTCTTGCTCAGCAGTCCCTGAGCAAACCACAGTATCAGCTGGTATCTGGGTCGGGGATGAGCAAGATGGAACAGGAAGCAGGGATCAATGTTCGTCACGTAAACCCAATGCGCCCACCTCAACATCAAGTTTGAGGAACAAAAGTGGACGTGAGGCTAAAAGGACAATGGGACAGGATGACCACAACGATGGCAATAATCACAAAGGCAATTCTGACCTCTCTTGGGGCTATGTGGCCACACGAGTGCTAATTCACTTACTCTTTTTCCTTACACCTACAAAGCCAATACTTGGCCTACTCTGGAGAAACTGAAGTGTGGAGATGAGGCAACTTCCTTGTGTTAGTGTCAACACGCAGACCACCCAACTCCCTGTGCTCAGCACATTAATTAATAATTAACCACTAGTGCTAGAGGCAAAAAAGATTTATTACCCTGTAGCAAAAAACTGTCCATTATGGATTTGTTTTCCCCAAAAAGAAGGGGATGGAACAACCTGTTTGCTACAAAGCCACGTATAAGAAATGGACCTACTAAACCACTGGAGACATAGTGGGGACATTACAGACCTGTTTGCTACAAAGCCAAGTATAAGAAATGGACCTACTAAACCACTGGAGACATAGTGGGGACATTACACAGGAAAGCAGTTTACCCTACAGGATCAGAGCCGTACCAAAGTGGCCTGGCGGGCCTGCTACTCCCTATGAATACCCACTCTGTAGACTGTGGGTCTTTGTTACTTTTTTATTCAAAAAGTTCTTCCAAGAGGTAAATAGTTTTTCTTTTTCCCTCTTAAGTTTCCATATGCAGTCCTGGGTCCAGCTACACAATCTATGATCCCTATCCTTGTCAATCACTTTCCTTCCTTTCCTCAAGTCAAAACTGCAGCACCATACCCACGTAACTTAAGTGCTTCCTGCGTGGGTCCTCAGGCAGTACAACACGCTTTTTTTTTGATCAGTGATGGACTCAGCAGCCACAGAACACAACAACCTGCATTTGTACAAAAGCTGTGCGAAGCTTTCCAGTTAGTTGATAATCTACAACCGTTTCAGAATCCTTCACTGTTTTCTTGGACATGGACAGCCAATCTCCTCCTCACAGCCTTGAGAAGTTTTGGTGGTACAGAGGGTTACAGGTGCAGACTACCTAGCTATACTTTACAATTTAGACTTGTATGTTGTTGTTGTTGTTAACAAACTTAATTGACTTTATTTTTCTTGTATAAAAACCCTTATGTGGGGGCTGGAGAGATGACTCAGAGGTTAAGAGCACTGACTGCTCTTCCAAAGGTCCTGAGTTCAATTCCCAGCAACCACATGGTGGCTCACAACCATCCTTTATGAGACCTGGTGCCTCCATATACATGGAGGCAGAATGTTGTATACGTATAATAAATAAATAAAATCTTAAAAAAAAAAACCCTTATGTGGTGGCCATAGCTGGAGCCTGGGTCTTCTGAACAAAGACTGTTGTGTGTGTGGTATTTTTTTTCAAAACAAGCAAACAAACAAACAAATGAATTTTAGAAGAAAATGCAATCAAGTTAACTGGCTAACATGCTTAAAGCAAGTAAGCGTGCAAGTATGCATTTGGTTGGGAAAAGATACTGACCTCAGGTTACCCTCCCTAATTGAAATTAGGTAAGCATACTGCCATAAAACACCAGTTGCAAAGGCCTGAAAAGGTAAGAATATAACTGCGAGGACACCATAGTCCTCCAATGTGTGTAGAAACATAACTATTAACAGAAAAGGGTGCTACAGGGACCATAGTATTCAAACTGCAGTTGATACAGAACTGTGCCTCAGCCGGCACCAGGCAAAGTCCTATAGAAGCCGACTAGAGATTAGAAACTTCCCAGAGCCCTCTGCCTTATTTCTGTCTCCCATTCTCATGGGGTTCAGAGCTGGGCATGCACACAGATTTCTGCACTCAAGGCACTAGGTCAAAGGTCAAAGTTGCCTGAGCCAGCCCAGGACGGAGCCCCAGCAACTCCACAAACTCCCACTAGGTGACTTTCCAAAGTGTTACAAAAGTGAAGGCCAACGAAGGAAATTTGGGGGGAGAGGCAGGACACTTGGAAAGAAAACTGCCCAAACAATAACCGGATAATAATTTTTTAAAAAATAAAACTGATAAGGAAAATTAAAAGAAATCGCAGCCCAGGTCGTGGCAAGCAGATTCCTGTCTGAGGCAGGGAGTGAGCAAACACAGTCAGCAACTCTGCACACAGAACTTTGCACAGCCGACTCCAGCATGCACGCGTGCACCAGCGCTCTGCACGGAGCCTTCCCTGGCCCGGGGCAGCTAATTCAGAAGCATGCACGTAAGGATCGGGCCAAAAGCTCTGGATCTGGGACACAGGAGTAAGCTGCTCCTTCTCGGCCGGTTTCGAACTACTTCCACGACACCCGGGGGCGCGCGACCCGCTCACCTGCGCGATGCCCGCGCCCATCAGCCCACCGCCGATGACTGTCACATGCTTGATCAGGATCTTCTTGGCGGCCGCGGACGCGGAGGAGGAGGAGGACATGCTGCGCACGAATTGCCTGGTCACGAACGCCATGGCGTTGTGGAGCAGCGAGAACGAGCTGTGGGGACCGCGCGAGAGGCTCCGGAGCTTCGGGGGCGGGGCCGTGGCGTCATGGGCGGGGCCTAGCGCGCGCCCCACCCACCGGTTTGACAGACTGCAGGTCCTTCCCGAGGGCGGGGGCAGGACCCGGGCAGAGCTAGAGGCCACTTGTGGTTGCCCTGGCAACCTCTTGGGTTGGAGGGGTTGTGAGCCTGAGCCCTGTTTAGGGTGAGAAAGGTAACCCTGCATGGAGAACACAGGAAAGGAACGCCTGGAAATCAGCCAGCCTTCCGCCGATCACTGCGCTAGTGACACGGAATCGCTGTTCACTTTACTTCTAAAAGTTCATCCCGGCCCCCGACACTCCCCATCCAGAGACAAGCCACACACACCCACACACACTCCCCCGGAGGAAGAAATGAGGGTTAATCCTGTATGAACTGAAGCTCCCTGGAAAGGTCTCATCTGTGTCTCACATTCTGCAGAAAAGAACTGACTTCCTGTCCGTGGAAAGATGGAATGTTGGCGATAGAGTCAAAGTTCTCTCCAGCTGTTTCTAATTACCCATCTCTGTGTCTAACTTAACATCTTTTTAAGTCAGATAAAACTTTAGGAATGTGTTGCTCAGCAGACCACTCCCTCCCTCCAGTGCAACACTAAGAAAGTGGGGTTTTGTTTGTTTTTAAAGCGTAAAAAAAGAGTCTCATGATCTATCACAACCTGTCTACCCAGGGACTTCGCCAATGTTCTTGGTGAACCTTACTCGTTCTGTAGCTATAAGTTTATGTCACCTTTCTCTGCGTGAAGCTTGTCCTTCAGAACTGCTTCCACGCACGTTCCCTGGCGCGGGCTCCTTCACATAGCTGCAATTCTGTCCTGCACGCCTGTCTTTGGAGCAAGGGCTGTATTTCACATTGACCTTTTGAATCTCATTTTTATATTTCATTCTTCAAAATAAGCAAAGCCCGTTGAGTGCTACATTCCAGCTAAGTCAAAAAAAAAAAAAATCATGAGACTAGAAACAGAAGTGCAAGGTTGCCCACCCTCGGAAACCTTGAAAAATGAGTAAATTTATGAAGAAAGAAATGTGAAGTGGCCGCATGAG